AGACAAGAGGACTCTTTAAGAAATTGAGACCTTATACAACACCTCCATTTAGCAGATGGCCCTCAATGTTGCTGACCTCATCTGAGGGGCTAACCTGCTACCTAACCCCAGCCAGGATTCAATCATGGGAAACTGAGGAGCAGCAGGAGGCAGAAGGAAAGAGAGCCAAGGAATGGACATCCTGTAATTTTTTTTTTTGAATAAATGTCACTTTTTGAGGGAAAAAAAAAGGCGGAGGGGAAGATCTGAATAGGCATTTCTCAAAAGATGACATACAAATGGCAAAGAGATGTATGAAAAAGTGCTCAATATTACTGATCGTCAGCGAAAGGCAGATCAAAACTACAATGTGATATCATCTCACCACAGTTAAAATGTTTTTTATCCAAAAGACAGGCAATAACAAATGCTGGTGAGGATGTGAAGAAAAGGGAACACTTGTGCGCTGTTGGTGGGAATATAAATTAGTATAGCCACTATGAAGAACAATATGGAGGTTCCTCAAAAAACTAAAAATACAGCTACCATATGATCTATCAATCGTACTGCTAGGTATATAACCAAAAGAAAGGAAATCAGTATATCAAAGAGATAGATACCTGTACTCCCATGTTTGTTGCAGCACTATTCACAATAGCCAGGATTTCGAAACAACCTTTATCCATTTGTCAACATACGAATGGATAAAGAATATGTGGTACATGACTATGCACTGTGGTTCACGCCTGTAATTCCAGCACTCTGGGAGGCTGGGGCAGGTGGATCACCTGAGGTCGGGAGTTCAAAACCAGCCTGACCAACATGAAGAAACTCCATCTTTACTAAAAACGCAAAATTAGCCGGGCATGATAGCGCATGCCTGTAATCCCAGCTACTCAGGAGGCTGAGGCAGGAGAATCTCTTAAACCCCAGAGGTGGAGTTTGCAGTAAGCCAAGATTGTGCCATTGCACTCCAGCTTAGGCAATAAGAGTGAAACTCCATCTCACCAAAAAAAAAAAAAAAAAAAGAATATGTGGTACATACACACAGTGGAGTGGTATTCAGACATTAAAAAAAAAAAGAAAAGAGTCCTGTCATCTGCAACAATATAGATGGAACTGGAGGACATTATGTGTTAAAAAAAATAAGCCAGGCACAGAAAGACAAACTTCCCATTGTCTCATGCATTTATGAGAGCTAAAAATCAAAACAATTGAACTCATGATGACAGAAAATAGAATGATGCAAGTTACCAGAGGCTGGAAAGAAGGTGGGGGTGGGTAGGCAAAAGTGGGCATGGTTAATGGGTACAAAAACATAATTAGATGGAATGAATAAGATCTGGTCTTTGATAGTACAACAGGGTGACTACAATCAACAATAATCTACTGCTTTTTTTTTTTTTTTTTTTTTTTGAGAAGGAGTCTCGCTCTGTCTCCCAGGCTGGAGTGCAGTGGCGCGATCTCGGCTCACTGCAAGCTCCGCCTCCCAGGTTCACGCCATTCTCCTGCCTCAGTCTCCCGAGTAGCTGGGACTACAGGTGCCCGCCACCATGCCCGGCTAATTTTTTGTATTTTTTTAGTAGAGACGGGGTTTCACCGTGTTAGCCAGGATGGTCTCGATCTCCTGACTTCGTGATCTGCCCGTCTCGGCCTCCCAAAGTGCTGGGATTACAGCCTTGAGCCACTGCGCCCGGCCTGCTGTGTATTTTCAAATAACTAAAGTATAACTGGAATGTTTATAACAGAAAGAAATGATAAATGCTTGAGGTGATGGATACCCCATTTACCCTGATGTGATTTTCCTTACTGTGTGCTTATATCAAAATATCTTGGCCAGGCACGGTGGCTCACACCTGTAATCCCAGCACTTTGGGAGGCCAAGGCAGGCGGATCATGAAGTCAGGAGTTCGAGAACAGCCTAGCCAATATGGTGAAAACCTGTCTCTACTAAAAATACAAAACTTAGCCGGGTGTGGTGGCACACGCCTGTAGTCCCAGCTACTCGGGAGGCTGAGGCAGGAAAATTGCTTGAACCCAGGAGGCAGAGGTTGCAGTGAGCCGAGATCATACCACTGCACTCTAGCTAGAGCAACAGAGTGAGATGCTGTCAAAAAAAAAAAAAAACAAAGCAAAAAAAAAAAAAAAAAAAAAAACCTCATGTACTCCATAAATATATTAATATATATCTACTAGGTACCTGTAAAAAATAAAAATTAAAAAAAGGAGTCTTTACAAAAAGACAAATACCCCAAAATTAAAATGGATGAAGTATATAGTTAGCAAGATTAAAAAAAAAAAAAAGTTGTCAGTTTAGCCATCAGATTGGCAACGATTGAAAAAGCCTCAATAAAACTTAGTTTTGGGCTTGGCACGGTGACTCATGTCTGTAATCCCAGCACTTTGGGAGACCAAGGCAGGCAGACTGCTTCGGCTCAAGAGTTTGAGACCAGCCCGGGCAACATGGCAAAACCCCGTCTCTGTCAAAAATACAAAAATTAGCCAGGCGTGGTAGGTAGCACATGCCTGTGATCCCAGCTACTCGGGAGGCTAAGGTGGGAGGATCACTTGAGCCCAACAGGTGGAGACTGCAGTGAGCCAAGATTGTGCGCTCCAGCCTGGGCGACAGAGTGAGACCCTGTCTCAAAAAAATGTACATAGTTTTGCAAATTTGGTACTATCAATGGGAACATAAATGTATATGAGCCTTCTTAGTGCATTCTGGCAATCTGTATGAACATGGAAGTTCGCTTCGAGAAATTTACCCACAGAGGTAATTATAAAAGGGCAAAAAGTTAAAGGCACAAGGATATAGCAGGATTTATGAAAGAAAGCCACTGGAAGCAACTTACATGCCATCAAGAGGCTTAATTAAATAAACTAAGGTCATTAAGGATAATGTAGGTTTGTTATAGAAAGATGTTAACATTGCTAGGGAGGGAAATGTAGGTTATAAAACAGCATATATAGTATAAGTCAAAATTTCACATAAATGTATATATTTATAAAGAGATTTCAGAAGGATATTTAGCAAAATGTATACAGTGATAATCTCAAGTAGAGGTAGATTGGGATAATTTCCTTTAAACATGACGACATACATGTTTATCTTCATTTTTACTTTCTACCGTGATCATCTAATGGCTTTTATCTCAGAATTATTTTTATAACTTTCTCAGCATTTTTTTGTAACTATCACTCTTAGAAATTTTTTTTTTTTTTTTTTTTTGAGAGGGAGTCTCACTCTGTCGCTCAAGCTGGAGTGCAATGGCGTGATCTCGGCTCACTGCAACCTCTGCCTCCCCGGTTCAAGCAATTCTCTGCCTCAGCCTCCCGAGTAGCTAGGATTACAGGTACCCACCACCACTCCCAGCTAATTTTTGTACTTTTAGTAGAGACAGGGTTTCATCATCTTCACCAGGCAGGTCAGAAAAATATTTTATGCACGTCATTTTATAGAGTATGTTACTTACACCACAATGTGGTGAACACATTCATTCACTGAAAAAAACAAAAAAAAACTACCCTGATGCATCAAATAACTAGCATCGCTAGTAACATATTTCATACGTGTATCATTACTTAATATAATACTTGCACCATAGTGTGATGAACATATTCTTTCACCGAAACAATCAGCATGATGATCATCTTTTCTGATTACTATAAACTTAATATTTTTAACTTACAAATTTTTCTGGAATTAACAAAAGATTGTTAAGAATAAGCAACCGCCGGGCACGGGGGCTCATGCCTGTAACCCCAGCACTTTGGGTGGCTGAGGTGGGCGGATCATGAGGTCAGGAGTTTGAGACCAGCCTGGCCAACATGGTGAAAACCCGTCTCTACCAAAAATACAAAAATTAGCCAGGCCTGGTATCGCGTGCCTGTAATCCCAGCTACTCAGGAGGCTGAGACAGGAGAATCGCTTGAACCTGGGAGGTGGAGGTTGCAGGAGTCGAGATCGCGCCATTGCACTCCAGCCTGGGCAACAGAGCGAGACTCTGTCTCAAAAAAAAAAAAGAACAAGCAACTCTGTATTAACTTATTTTTGTGGGTTATAAAGAGAGTGATAATTGGAGAAGTACAACTGACAAAGAAACCTAATAAACAGGACATAAAAGGAAGCCACTTGCCTTCCTCAGGTTAAGCTATAATTTGATTCATTTATGAGGCACAGGAAGGACTAGTATTTTCACTCCATCTTTTTGTGCTGGGTAATATTACACAATAATATGTATTAAAAAGCCATTTATCTGAAATGAAATGTATTCTTGAAACCTATCTACAAATGTAACAAACAAAACCTTTAACCCAAAACATTCTTCTATATAAACCTAGGAACACACCCAAGTGAATATCACCAGTAAAGTTCCCTAGATTCTGCAGAAATGACAAACTAGGAACAAAGCAATATATTTTCATGCCCTCATAAATTATCAAATGAGCCTCCCCAAAAATCACAGAAGCAGGGTCATACGGAGAGTCTTTTGCTAGTTTGCCCTCCACTCCCAAACAGGCTAAGTCACTTAAGATACAGATGTGGATAAAAATAATTTTGTACAATGCCATTCTTTAGCCACTAGGTTTCCCACGTTTGGGGTTTACAAAATCTATAAAACCATAGGGTTATGGAATGCAAATAAAATCTGACCCTAAATAATCTTTTTCTTTACCATTGCTGACATTCCTCAAAACCCTAGATCTTTTCTTTCAAAATAATGAAAATTAGCAGGAGGCTCATCAACAACAGACTCCCAGGGTCTCACTGTCAATAAAATCGGTGCCATGAAACCATCAGTGTGCTTCTGGGGAAGAGTCTCTAAGTGGAAACGTAATACACAAAAGGATGATAAACGTTAAAATGTTTTCCTAATTGGGGGAAAAAATTCAACAGCTATTGAAAAAATTCAATAGCTAAAATTCAACAGCTAAATTCAACCAGTAAAAGGCTGCCTTTTATTGAACTGTCATGCTATCTCTCCAACAGGCAGGCAGTGGAGACATTCTAAGAGCATTACCTTTAGGAGGAAAATACGACTTGCTTTCAGCTTTGTGAGGCCAGTCTACCACGAGAGGTCCAAACCTGCGAAAGCTGGCAGTGATCTCATCTACAAAACAAAGAAATAATCTTAGCAAAAGAGAAAAAAATATTGCAATCAGAAAACCAGAATAGCACAAAACATGTCTTTTTAGTTTAAAAAAATGTTTTGAGGGTTGTTTTCTAAAGCATTTTTACAGAAGTGAAACCTACTAAGTGAAATACCATTGCTTGGGTGTACATTTGGTTATTCATTTTTAATCATGTAAAGTGTGTTTCTAACTATAATTCATTTCTTTTCACTGCCAATAAACTTGACATAAAGAATTTGGAAGAAAAATATCTCATATTAAACTAAGGTGACTTCTATGTCAAATAGAAAGATTCTAAAAATAGGAATGTTCTCTGATTTTTAGGAAGAAAGTAAGATACAGAAAATATTTAAAATATGGTTTCACTTGTATGGAACCTCTAAGATTATTTAAGAAATAGATATGATTCTTTTGGTGAGGAGTAGGGGCAATAAGTAGGTAATTCCACTGAGTGATAAGAAAATGTTGACAGCCAATACTATCTTTAATAACTACATATTACATACCCTATATAGAAAATATATCAAAAATTATAGATCAACACATTTATATTTTCCTTCTGACATATGACCCAAAGCAGAGGTTATAACCTGGCTCCTACTCAGGTTTAGGGTACCACTTTCTCAGCCATGATCTTAAGAATTGTCTTGAAGAAAATCTAATCAATAGATGAGATTAACATGAATCCAAGAACAATTTGGAGGAAAATAAGCGTTCAGCTATGTATAACTTTAATGTAGTTAGTCTAAAATAACACTACTTTTTGAGACTTTTCTCCTCTCACCATGAAAAAAGGAAATCATGATAAATTAGAAGTGTGTCATAGCCAGAAAAATGCTGGAAAAACAAGACTGTTAGAATATCAGACAGTATTTTTATATCAGACCCAAAGCCTACTGGAACTAGAGTTGTTTTTTGCTTAAGTTAACTTTGTCACAATTTTATTTCATTCATCCTTTCAACAAATATTTATTGACAACTTACTGTGTGCTAAAATAAACTGGCTTTAGGCATAAGTGAACACTCACTTTTGGACTGATAGCATCTCAAAACTATTATTAAGAAAAATTCAAATTCATTTTCATTCTTTTAAAGAGGGGGATTATGCTTTTTTAAATAGGTATTTGTTTTTATTTATTTATTTACTTATGAGACAGGGTTTCACTCTGTCACCCAGGCTGGAGTTCAGTGGTGTGGTCACAGCTCACTGTAACCTCAAACTCCTGAGCTCAAGTGACTTTCCACCTCAGTCTCCCAAGTAGCTGGGAATACAGGCATGCACCACCATACCCGGCTAATCTTTTTATTTTGTAGAGACAGGGTCTTGCTATGTTGCCCAGGCTGGTTTTGAACCCCTGGGCTCAAGTAATCCTCCCACCTTGGCCTCCCAAAGGACTGGGATTACAGGCATGAGCCACTGCACTGGCCAGTATTTATATTAAAATGTGAGATGGTCTGGTGTGATGGACATAAGCAAAAGCTCTGGAATCTAATTGAATTTGAGTTGTAACTGCACCATCAGCTATATAACCCTGAACAAATTATTTCTCTCTGATCCTCAGTTTCCTTATCTATAAAATGGAGATGCTAGGATATCCTTATAAGATAGCTATGAGGATTAAATGAGATAATGTAACATGAAGTACTTAGTACAATAATAGACTATTACTTTCTAATCTACCAAATAGCCTCACCTCCTATACACTAAGATATAAATGTCCTAAAGTTGACTTGGAGAGGAGAGGCAGGGTCAGAACACACAAAGAACAAACTCAGCCTTTGCAAAATCATTAATGAATGCATAGTACCTTCATCAATATCAGGAGGAAGGCCTCCAACAAACACCTTTCTAGAGTAGCGTTCTACTCGTTCCCCATTTTGACAGCGAGTGGGAGAACTTAAGCCAGATGACAAGGCCTGATCGCCGTGGCTGTCGTCCAGGAAGGCATCTTCAAAGGGAAAGAGAGAAGATCGACCTGAAACAAATGTGGGAGTTTCTATAATTAAAATGATTTTCTAGGACAATAAATGCTCTATTAGAAGCCCGAAGTGCAGAGAGAAGCATACAAAACAAAAGTGTCCTGAGCTGTGACTTTTCCAAGATTACCAGGACTGAAGATTACCAGATCTAGATAACTTTTTATCATCATTTTTGTGTGAGGGTATGCACAGCCTTGGGACGACCAGATTGCTAACTAAAGAAAAAGAATCGTCCAGGTGGGCATGGTGGCTCATGCCTGTAATCCCAGCACTTTGGGAGGCTGAGGTGGGTGCATCACCTGTCAGGAGTTCGAGACCAGCCTGGCTAACATGGCAAAACCCTGTCTCTACTAAAAATATAAAAATTAGCCAGACATGGTGGTGCATGCCTGTAATCCCAGCTACTCAGGAGGCTGAGGCAGGAGAATCGCTTGAACCCAAACCCGGGAGGTGGAGGTTGCAGTGAGCCAAGATCGTGCCATTGCACTTTTTCCCGAGTGACAAGAGTGAAACTCAGTCTCAAAAAAAAAAAAAAAAAAAAAAAAAAAGCATCAAAATTTCAGTGGTTTCCTTGCTAAAAAATCACTACATTTTACTCATTCAGTCTCTATCATAGCTACTAGGAGTATATTCAGCAGCTTTTCTTTCTTTAGGCATTTCTTAAAATAAATGGACAAAGTAATCTCTATCCACAGATTTTTACCTGCTCTTTACAGTATCCTCAGAGGTTTAGTTCTAAAGAGTGGTCCTGATAGCCAAGGGAATACAAAACTGGTGACAGAGGCTGATAACTTCTTTTCTAATAGCAGAACTAAAGATCATCAAGTTTTCCTTGTCATTCCAAGCTACTCCAATTTGGAAATAAACATATGCAATAATAAAGGACAGGGTAAATAAATGAAAACACATAACTTAAGATGTGGGAGTATAAATGTGGATGTGGTTATGAAACCCTTAACCCTACCAATTTAGGCTATATTTTATATCACTCAAAAAATATATAAAAAGAAATGAAAAAAGAATTATTTTCATTAACTTTATAGCCAAATAAAGTTTGTAGAGCAAAAGTACCTACCCACTCCACATAACTATAAGAAAGATACCACAGTTAGAGTCAGCAGTAAATTTACCAGCAGTAAATGTAATACAATAATGCCATTTGGCATTACAAAATAAAATCTAAATTTAAAATCAAATATATTTCCTGTTTGAGTCAGTGACTTCCTAGTAAAACTTTCCACTAGGTTCCACTCTAAAAATGAATCATTAGAGCACTCTAACTTTTGGGGGGGAAAGGAAAATTCCCCTCTAAAGTAAATTCATATACTCTTAAAAAAAAAAAAAAAAAAAAGAGCAGTGTCTTCCCCATTTAGTCTATCCTATCTTTATTTCCCTGAAACCTAGGTTTTTTGTGTCACAACAGCCATTCTATCAATAGCCCTTAGAAAAATACTGAACATGTAATTCTTTTACAAAAAAGTTAAAGTTATTAATATAACTCTGGTTATTTCGTGAACAACTCAGTTAGTGTAAGAAAGACACTGTTATAATGCTAGGAGTTAAATAAAAAGACCAAAGAATTTTTTGTTCAGTTTTCCCCAGCTTAGCTACAAAGAAACAGAACAAAATCTGTCATCTCATGCCACCTATCTTTTTTAGCCTGGCAGCAACAAACAATAGACAGTAAATTCTCATCCCTTGATGTTTGTTTTGATCACTGGGGGTGAAAGAAATACATTTGCAGCAACTATAAGCAAAAAGAGCTTCCCAAAAACATCCAGTGACATTCTCCTAGAGCTGACAGGTTTGCTTTATTCCATAGACCACACTCAGTGAATTACATGCCTACTCAGTGTCAGGCACATGCGCAAATCAGCATTTCCCACTGAGTGTTCCTAACTCCACCTCTTACCTTCAACACTAGTAACATTAGATACTCAGAAAACAAGAGCTGGGGAAGGGGAAAATAAATAAGCTGGGGAAAAAAATGCATATGTTATGCCTTTCCACCTCAGAAAATAAAAGGCTATGAAAAGTTCTACAGTAAAGAAACATTAACTGGCCAGGCATGGTGGCTCATCATGCCTGTAGTCCCAGCACTTTGGGAGGCCGAGGCAGGTGGATCACTTGATTCCAGGAGTTCAAGACCAGCCTGGGCAACATGGTGAACCCCGTCTCTACAAAAAATACAAAACTTAGCCGGGCATGGTCATGCATATCTGTAGTCCCAGCTACTGGGGAAGCTGAGGTGGGAGGATCACTTGAGTCCAGGAGGTAGAGGTTGCAGTGAGCTGAGACCGCACCACTGCACACCAGCCTGGGTGACACAGTGAGACCCCGTCTCAAAAAAAAAAAAAAAAATTGCCGGGCGTGTTGGCTCACGCTTGTAATCCCAGCACTTTGGGAGGCCGAGGCGGGCAGATCATGATGTCAGGAGATCAAGACCACGGTGAAATCCCGTCTCTACTAAAAATACAAAAAATTAGCCGAGCGTGGTGGTGGGCACCTGTAGTCCCAGTTACTCGGAGATGCTGAGGCAGGAGAATGGCGTGAACCCAGGAGGCGGAGCTTGCAGTGAGCCAAGATGGCGCCACTGCACTCCAGCCTGGGCACAGAGCGAGACTCTGTCTCAAAAAAACCAAAAACCAAAAAACAAAAAAAACCAACATTAACTTACGCCAGCATTACCCAGATGTTAAAGTAACCCTTCACTATACAAAACTCAGTGGAAAACACTTGAGGAAATATTCACCCATATTTCAGTGACACCGAACAAATAAGATACTTCCTTGCCAAAGAAATCACAGTCTGGTGGGGGAGACAGGCGAGTACATAAATAATTATAAAACAGATACGCTAAGAGAAGACTTTACCAAGTGACACAAGAGCACAATTTACTACCCTTCTGGAGATGGGCGGGGAGAGATTTTTAGAGTATTTTCACAGGAGGGCAATTTTGAGCAGAATCTTGTCAGAATGGGAATTTCTGAAGTAAAAGAACAAGAAGCCACAGAGCAAGTACTGTCAAAACAGCTCTTGATCTTTCCCTCCAAAATTGCTCCTTCTCTAGTAGTCCCTAAACTCTCAATAAAAATGCTGATTATCCACACTGGATTCAATCCAGAAACCTAGAAATCATCCTTGGCATCTCCCTTTCTCTTACACTCCATGTCAAATCCATCTCTTGAATTAGTCTGCCAATTCAAGCAGACTAAATAGTCTGTTTAGTCTACTGACTTTTACCTTGTACCCCACAATGCTTTCTCCACAAAACAGCCAAAGGTACCATTGTCAAACATTAATTTGAACATGTAAGCACACTCCTCATCCCATCCTCAAAAGCCCTCAATGATTTCCCATTACTTTTTGGATAAATTTTTTAAAAATTACTGTCAACTGCAAGGCCTCTGCACACCTCTTCTACATCACAGTTGCTGCCTCTCCCTCTTGCTCACTAACTGCCAATCACACAGACCTCTTTCGTATTTCCGATTATTCCTCCTTGCTGCAGGCCATGAGGACAATGTGTTCCCTCTACCTAAAACAAACATACCCTTTTCAACTCTCCAATTTTCTAATTAATTCCTACTAATTCTTCAGGTCTCAGCTGAAAAGTCTTCCTCAGGTCAAACTCTCCTAAGCCTTTAGATTAGGTTAGATTCCCTTTTCTATCCACACACAGCTCCCTGTACTTCTCCTTCCTAACACTTTCCCCAAGGACCATTATACCATTTGGATGCGTTTTTATTGAGTATCTCTTTCCCTAACCCTATTAAATTGAAAACTCTATTAGGATGGGACCAATTTAATCTTGTTCACCACTGTATCTTCCTGCCCTAATTAGGTCACATAAAAGGCACACCAAAAATGTTAAATATGAGGCAGCATCCAGGGAAGGAAAACAGTATGTGCAAAAGCATGTGGCTGCAAATCTATGATGAAACACAATACACAGGTGTGAGAATGACAGAGATGTAATCATGTCCTAGAAAACTGAGACCTTTCCTATTGCTTTTTTTTTTTTTTTTTTTTTTTTTTTTTTTTTTGAGACGGAGTCTCGCTCTATCGCCCAGGCTGGAGTGCAGTGGCGCAATCTTGGCTCACTGCAAGCTCCGCCTCCCGGGTTCACGCCATTCTCCTGCCTCAGCCTCCTGTGTAGCTGGGACTACAGGCGCCCACCACCACACCCAGCTAGTTTTTTTTTTTTTTTGTATTTTTAGTAAAGACGGGGTTTCACCGTGTTAGCCAGGATGGTCTCGATCTCCTGACCTCGTGATCCGCCCGTCTCGGCCTCCCAAAGTGCTGGGATTATAGGCATGAGCCACCGTGCCTGGCCTCCTATTGCTTTTATTTGGTCAGGCATTAATGTTCTACATTACAAAATGGAAAAAATTATTTTCCCACTTTTTGAATTTAATATTTATTTGAATACTGTTTTTTTTGTTTTGTTGTTGTTGTTGTTGTTTTTTGAGACAGAGTCTCGCTCTGTCACCCAAGCTAGAGTGCAGTGGCACAATCTTGGCTCACTGCCACCTCTGCCTCCCAGGTTCAAAGGATTCTCCTGCCTCAGCCTCCCCAGTAGCTGGGATTATAGGCATGTGCCACCACACCCGGCTTATTTTTCTATTTTTAGTAGAGACAGGGTTTCGCCAAGTTGGCCAGACTGGTCTCGAACTCCTGACCTCAAGTGATCTGCCTGTCTCTGCCTCCCAAAGTGCTGGGATTACAGGTGTGAGCCACTGTGCCCAGCTCTAATAGTAGCTTTTTTTGAACTACACTAACTCCATAGAGACCATGATATTCTCACCCAATCGATCTTCTGTCCTGTCAGAATGACTTCTCTAAGATATCTATGACCATGTTAGTCCTCTAACCAAAATCCTACCATAACTTCTATTACTTCCACCAACATTTTGAACTTAGGGAGTGGGTGGATGAGGTGAGAGTCTGAAGAAATCTGTGACTGTCCAGATGAGACATGAGGAAGTCTTGAATC